ATAGCAGATCCTTCGCACGTGGTGCAACCTGATGATGTGGAGGTTCGGAAGAACTTGAAAACTCTCGTCGGACCACTCAAGATTCTCGAACGTGGTGAGAAGCAGCTGAGGAGCAAGATCATTCCAATGGTCAAAGTGCAGTGGTCAGGAAGAACTTCTGAGGAGTGTACTTGGGAGCGAGAGGACGAGCTTCTCCGGCAGTATCCCGACTTTCGAGACATGTATATTCTGATTTTGAGGACAAAATCCTAAAAAGGTGAGGTGAATGTAAGAACCCGCACCGCTAATTAAGAAAATTAATTAGATAATTATGAGATAATTCCATAAATAACCCTAATAATTATGATAAGGCTTGAATATGTATAGAAAGTAATTAATAATGCTGAAACTCGCTTTTGTGACGAAAAATGCAGATACCGGTTCTGCTCAATGTATAAGTGCGTACCGATGAAGTATCCCAAAAAATTATGAAAAGTGAGTATATATTACTAGAATAATATATAGGACTGAGATTTCAAGTTTCAAGTTAAAATAATGAGAACTGGTGCCAGAACTGATACTGGCTATGTAAAAGCGCGTACCGGAAATGTGGAGGTTAAAGACATGGAGTTGAGGAGGTGGTGGAATGGGAACGTTGTGGAACGAAAGGTCAGGGTTAATGGTATTCAACTGCTTCTGATGGTGGTAAGGAGATGGAACGGTTTAGGTTAGAAACGTGGGGAGAGGGAAATCAAAGTATGAGCAGTTGTATTAATGGCTGAGGAGACAGTTGCTTTTTTCAGAGCACGTTTTCAAAATTTGCAATGAGTGCAAATCTGATAACGGCTGCGCATATATATGTGACTCAGCATGGATAGGTGTCCTTGTCACGTTTATCTCCTAAGCTAGGGAACGTTCCCTTTGTCTTTATCCTAAAATAACAATAATAAACTAATGCCTACCAACTAAAATACAAACCTATCTAATAATCAGCAATAGAAATATTACTTATTTAATCAGATGAATGAAAATTAAAATTACTTATAAGTATATATATATATATATATATATATATATATATATATATATATATTACTTTTTATTTTTATTTTATTTTTTATTTTTTTATTTTTTATTTTTTTTATTTAGGAGTGTGTGGTTATTGAACCACCCCAAAACTACGTTCCTGGAACAGAACGTACCTTATTTGGACTTGGAGTTGAACATCAGATGTTCCTCCATTTTGGGAGCTATGCGGTTAGGTTTAACCACCCCAAAACTTTGCTCTTTGTCAAAGGGCAAAGGTATCCACTGGGTTGCCTCCCAGTCAGCGCTTAGTTTAATGTCTTTAGCTAGACATGGTACTAACCTCTTAGGTTTCTGGAGAAGAGGTTGAGGGAACTTCAGTATCCCCTGGCAAGTGTCCTGGTGTCCTGGTGTTGAGGCTAGCAGCTATCTGTCCCAGGTGGGACTCAATGTTTCTGACCACAACATCGTTCCTGGTTACATATTCTTTGACATAGCTTTCCAGGGTGTTGATGCGTTGGTCATCTCTTTGGAATGGAGAATAAGTGGTTCTTCTTTGTGGTTCATATGATCCCTTCCCACTGCTTCTGCCTTGTTGAAACTACTACTGTTGATTGTTGTATGGTCTATGGTTCATGGGTGGCCTCCATTGTGGATTATGGTTATGCTCATTCACTATGGTTCCTCCAGGGTTTTGATTGTTGTTGCTACCTGCATTCCGATTATCTCTAGCCTGGGAGAAATTTCTGTTCCCAAAATTTTCAGCATAACACACCAAGGCAGTTGATGGACAGTCTATTGAATCATGAAGGTCACCACAGGCTGAGCATGGTTCACTCTCAGTTGTTGTGAGTTGTAAGACCTCCATCCTTGGTTGTTCTTGATCAACTTTCAGGTTCTTCACCTCATTCATTAGTGTGGCCAGTTGGAACTCCATGGCAGTTTGTTTATCTAGTTCGAGCATGCATGGCTTCCTTACTGGACTCACCCTGTCTAGTGGCCACTGGAGACATCTTTCTGCAGTGCCTTATATGATTTCGTACCTGGATTCAAGGGTCCCTATGAAAAAATATCCTCCTGCAACAAAATTAAATGTGATTGAGAAGTATGATCAATGCCTTTATAGAAAGACTGTAAGACTCCCCAACTCTCTAACCCATGGTTTGGACATTTTCTGATGATGTCCTTGTATCTCTCCCAAGCTTCATAAAGATTTTCTCCATAAAACATTTTGAAGTTAGAAAGCTCAGCTCTAAGCGAGACATAGGGAGAAACCTTTCTATGAACTTGTTAGAAAGTTCCTCCCAAGAGTGTATGGATCCAGGGGTGAGAGTTTTCATCCATGTTTTTGCTTTTGACCTTAAGGAGTGAGGAAACAGCCTCATTTTCATACTCTCTTCTGTCACACCCTCAGCCTTGAAATTATCACAGATATCTTGAAAGTTTGTGAAGTATGTGTAAGGATCTTCTGCAGGGAGTCCATGAAAGACTCCAACTTCCCTTATCATGTGAAACATGATAGGTTTTAATTCAAAGTTAGGTGCTACAGGAGGGAGGATTACTCCCCTTTCTAGTCTGTTCCTGAAAGGAGCAGCCAAAGTTCTAAAGTTCTGTTCATGAGGGATTCCTTCATTGTTATTGTCCTAATCAGCCATATTTTCAAAAATATTTTCCCTAAGATTTCTTCTCCTTCTATGTAAAGTGCGTTCTGGCTCAGGATCGAAGAAAAACTCAGGTATTTCAGTGGAGTGGGGAGAATCTGTTTCAGACTCTTCACTCATAAACCATATACACAGATATTATGAACAGCAGAATGTGTAACAATATATATAAAAATTAAAACAGAAATAACTATACAGAGTATATACTTAAAACAGTAATAAGAACAAAATTTAGTATTTCTGTCCCCGGCAACGGCGCCAAAACCTTGTTGGGCGTCTGCAAAGCTGTTGGGTAAAAATATATTATGATGAAAACGTTCCTCGTTTATTAAGAGAAAACACAGTGGCTCTCTTAGCTTTGACCCAAGTGCGCAAGTGCGTGACTCAAGTAATAAATGGGAGCGTTAGTGCCTAGATTATCGTTCCCACGAGAATAGAACTCTAATTAATGTCCTATACTATTTTACAAAGAATGAAAATGAAAAGAAAAGTTAGTAATTAACCCGTTTGGTCAAACGTTCCCTACTTTCTTGACAACGTTCCTTAAGAACAATAGGTTCAATCTGATGGAAAATAGTTCATCGCTTCGTTATGTATTTTCTCCTTCTTGTTTAGAGAAGGAACATAAATATTCATAAGGGTTTTGCAAATACAAGATTAAATAAAGAAAAGAAAACTACAAAATAATAACAATAGCAAGTGACAACAGGGTGGATGGTTAAAACAATAATAACAGAAGGAACAGATCCACTGCTCCATTCATAAACAATTATTTTCTCTATTCAAGATTCAACACTATTGCATCTGTTCCAGTCTCTTCTCGGCCAACTCTGATTCCTCAGCTCATGGACTAGATGGCTCACAAGTTTCCATATTCCTATGGCTTCCTTGACTCCAACAGGTACTGGGTACAAGACCTTTGAGTGAACGAGGTTGTCCCTTATTCCCAAGGTAACCAGCAGCCTTGTTTCCACAAGACTACCTTCCCCATCTGGTTAAGCTGTCTGAAATCTCTTCCTTATGGAAGATCCTTTCTCAGTATGTGTTCGATTTCCAAAGATACACAATGAAGATAGCTCACTTGACAGAGAAACACAAAAGCTGTAATACAAGAGTTTCGAAAATAATTCTTTAAGAACTTTGCAGTTTTTCATTCCACAGATATTTTAGCCCATGGCTAATAGTTTAAACATAATTATTCCAAACTGAAGTCCCATAGACCCGAGATTCAGTTCAGAGATAACGAGTGGAAAGGAGAGAAAAACACTTATATTGAAATGAAAACAAAATGATTACAACAAAAAATGAAAAGTGGAGAAGATGGTTGTTGCTCATGAGGAGTCTCAAGTGGGTGATACAGAAAAGAGAAGGAAGGTTGTCACTTAACTAATGTTAAACTATAAAACTAAAAACTACAAAAATAAACTAAGTGATCTTCTTCTTAAGGAATCCGATCCTAGGTGATCTCTTCTTAAGGAATTCGATGGATGTCTTCGTGCTGGGACATCCTATTTATAGGAGAAGAGTTAATGGTAAAATTGTAATTCTCTTGGATTTGTTCTCTTGTCTGCTTAGAAGAGGCGGCGTGTACAGTGCTTCGAAGGGGTGCAAAGTGGCTGGATGAGACAATAGTTATTTGAGATTTGTCTTTCCTTCTGACCATACTCATGCCTTGCTTTCCTTTTTGACCAATAGGAACCCTTTATTCTCTGCTGCCCACGTTTTCCTTTGCTGAATAGCTGCACCGCTTCTGCTTTATGGAAACTTCTTTTCAACGTTTCTTGAAAAGTGGTCAGAGAGATTGAGTGAGTGAAGCAGGTGTACTTAATGTTCTCAATCTGTTTCCCTTTTTATATATTTTCCAAGGGCTTACGTCACCTTCCGTTCCCCACTGTGTTTTTGTCAAAAAGATATTAAACACGTGCTTTTAATGCTAAAGTTGCTCATCAATGGAGGGAACATATGGTATTTTGCCATCAAAATGGGCTTAGATGGGAACAGATGATATTTTGCCATCAAAATGTTAAAGTTGTTCATCAGTGTCAATCTCTATACTCTTATCTCTTTTTCTGTTTTCTCGATTTTGTGTGATTGTTGATTTCCAACAGATTCAAAACGACATGAAATTTCAAATCACTAGATAACCAAATCATCATGATAACATATTAAAAAGATTGCATCAAACACTCTTATATAAAGGCTTTGAACTCTAGGAGGCACTTAAGCCCACCAAACAACGAAAAACAGCTAAATAGAAAAGAATAATACATTGACCCTAAGACTATAGAGATTTAAGTCCAATCTTTATAAAGAAGGTACCTTGAACCATGTTACTTAGTTGTTTATAATAACCGGAATAGCTCGTACGGGTTTGTCCATGTCCATATCCATATCCATATCGTCTGGTTTCAAATTATTTTCAAGTTTCCAATCAAAAGAGTTGATTAATGATCCCAACATCACATGCAACATTCTCATAGCAAGTGGTAAGCCAGGACATATTCGCCTACCACTACCAAATGGTGTGAACTGAAAATCTCGTCCTTTGACATCAATTTCTGACCCAATGAACCTCTCTGGCAAAAATAAATGTGCATTATCCCATATGGTTGAGTTCCTACCAATGGCCCACACATTGATTACGACTAGTGCACCCTGTGGGATTGTGTAGCCTGAGATTTCCAAATCAACCTTGGCTCTTCTAGGAAATATAAGTGGAGCTGGTGGGTATAAACGTAAGGTCTCTTTTACTATTGCTTGTAAATATGGGAGTTTAGCAATGTCTGATTCCTCAACAGGTTTACCTATTCCAATGGTTTGCTCCAGCTCCCTTTTGGCTTTTGACATAATCCTTGGGTTGTGGAGTAGTTCACCCAATGCCTTTTCTAATGCATATGTAGTTGTATCAGTCCCCGCAACAAGTAGATCCTATTAGAAACCATAGTTTATACTCAGCGAGAAACTCATCAATTATATGAGCATACCATATATATAACACAGAGAGATAATGATTAATGCATTAAGTAATAATATTAAAACTATAACTAAAGCGTGAGTTTGAATGTCAGCTAACATAATTTTTTTTAGACAAAAATTGAAAAATAAGTTATTTCAAAAACATGTATATAATGAAACAAGACTAAATAATAATAATAGTAGTGGTAGTAATAATAATAATAATAATAAGGGAGAGGAAATACAAGAAAGAAGTGTTTAATCTTTATGTTGTCCATCTTTTGGCTATTCTCTTGAGAAATGTTGAGCAGGTTGTCCAACATGTCATTCTTTACTACATAGTTTTCCCCTTCTCTTTGCTTCAACCGTTTCCCAATCAAGTGATCAAAGATATGGAACAACTTCGTCACGTGACCATGTGTGCACTTTATGAGGCCTTGTGGATCAAGGATCTTCAACACTGGGAAAAAATCCACCACGTTTGGTGTTCCAATAGCTTTCATGATACTCTCTGCTATATCCCTGTACTCCTCAGTTTCACCTACAGAGTTAACAAAATCCAGAGAGAAAAAAGTGGTTGATATGATATTAATTGAAGTCTTGAAAGCTGCTCTTCCAATATCAACACTTTCACCTATTAGGCTGCTTCTATGTATATCATTTAAGAGTTCTTGTAGTTTATTGCTTCTATGTTCTTGACATGCATCAAGGGTCTTGTTGGAGACTAATAGGATATTGCATATTTTTCTAAGGTCTCGCCAAAGATCTGAAACTGGGAGGTAGGGTAAGCTATAATGATCATGATTGTGAACTGTTACAGCTTGAGGAACGAATCTGCTTGAGAGTAAGAGATCATTGGTTTGGAACACCTCTTTGGCTATGTCTTCTGAGGAAATGACTATGGTTGTTACTTGGCCTAGTTTCAAACGCATTATTGGGCCATGAACCTTTGCAAGCTTTGCCAAATATTGGTGTGGCCTTTTGCAAATTTGAACAAGGTTTGCCACAATATTAAGAGGGGAAGGTCCTGGTGGAAGCTTGTGTTTTTGCTTCTTGCTTCTTGCATGCAGTGAAAGAAGAACTTGTATAATAGTGCACGTTAATAGGATGAACAGTGTGCTGCTAATTAATGAATCCATGTATGGAATGAACATGGAGGAAAAACAATGCTTGGGGAGTTGAGAGGTGATGTTGACCTTTTGATTCACTCGGCTAGTGGAGAAATCAATTTATAATGCATAAGAATGAATTAAAATCAAGGTATTGAAATAATCTAATACTTATCAACGTCAAAAGTCGTAATCCACATTCATGGAAATGGCATGGCTATTATTTATCTTGAGAGATGACGAGTTGTATTATGAAAACAAGGAAATTAATTACGCCTACTTAATTGAAGTAAGTTAATGATTAATTAATTTTAAAAAATTTAAGTCAATGTACTTTTAGTAAGGTATTTTTTTATGGCAAAGTTGAATTATTCTAGGAAGAATAATTACTAGAAACTTAGGGCCATTTGGTACACGGATTTTTTTCGGATTTTCGGAAACTGAAATTTTTAAAATTTTAAATTTTCAGATATTATCGTAAACTGAATGTAAAAATCATATTTTTGAAAATTGAGATTCCCGGATAAATAAAAATTTCTCTTATACCAAACGCTCCCAAGAATAATTGAAAAGTTTGTAATTTACATAAAATAAGGGCGGTAATACACAACGTGGTCTTTCACCCATAAATAAATAATTAAATAACTAAATATATATAGAGATAATGATAATTTTTATTTTTTTTTGTAAAAGAGATCATGGTCATTTTACAACAGCGTAAATTATATTCTCAATTTTTGTTATTGATCTTATTTAAATTAGATAACTATCTGAAGTGTCTATGAAAATAATCTGTCTATATGTCTCTCATATATGAATGTGACAACAATTAATTTTCTATAATAAAAAAAAATATTTTTTATATATATAACCTGTTTCTTGCCATTTTTATTTTTTTTTGAACGCTTGAAAGGGATACTTTGGTTGACCAAAAAAGTGCTTTTACTTTTTGGACAAAGAAATAATTCTTTAAATTGATTTGAATATATATATATATATATATATTAGAGTGAATCACTCATAGTTGGAATACCAAATTTTAACTACAATGATAAAGGTATTAAATGGTGGTAGCTCAATTGGGGCATAGAAGCTGAGCAGGTAGAAATAAGAATATGTGTTCGATTCACTCCAGTATTATATCTAATAACTTTAATTCTGGACCTGCTCCGAATTAAACTAGTCACAAAATGATGAATCGATTGGAATGTTTTTTTAAAAAAAAATACTATAGTGATAAAGGGTTTTAATACTTTCTAATATAAGCAATGTAAGGGCAATTATAATTACCACCATTCTAATTATCACTGTTATTATTTTTTTGGGTTACATATTATAACATGATAAAATATATTTCTAAATAAAGGGAAGGATTATATTATATATATACTACGTAGAGTAGACTCTTAAGTTAGTGTATTTCTCAAAATATATAGTGTAGTTTGTACAATTTTATAAATATAATTCTACTCTTTAAATAATATTTTAAAGCTTTATATTTAGTGAGAGAGAAAACAAGAAAAATACAGCCTACAATCGCTAATCAACTCATAATAAAGATGAACAAGCATACCAGGAGAGGAGCGAAACAGACGTCACAACTCACGAGTATTGTTGTTTAGAAAACCATTTAGACAAACAAACAACCAAAAATGGCACATGTCACCAAAGGAAAAAAAAAGAGGCGCAATTGTTGCTCTCCGGAATAGTATTTTAAAGCTAATTGGACTCGCTTGTTAATTTGACTTTTATGGATAGGTTGGACATTTATTCTAGCATAATTTACTCATTGATAAGGTCAAATCACCCTTCTAGTAGCAAACAAATAAATAAAAATAAAAAACACCCTTATAGATAAGGAAAGTTTGGAATTGATCATTAGAGATATTTATCAACCGATCCAAACCGATTCAAACCGAACCGAAAAATTTATAACCGAATAAATCGAAAATCGAAAGAAAAAAACCGCAAATTTTAATTGAATTGGATCGATTTTCGGATTGGTTGTTGAAAATCGATCCAATCCAAACCAATTCAATATATTAATTCCTCTCTACCTACTTAGGTCTTTCCCCAATCAAAGCCCAAAAGTTTTTAGAGTAAATACTTTTTTTGGTCCTTAACAAAAAACACGGTCCTCGTTTTAGTCCCTTACAAAAAAAATTAGTCGGTTGGTCCCTATGAAATTCAAAGTAGACCCATTTTAGTCCTTTTGAGGGACTAATGTGGATCTTTTTTGAATTTGTGAGGGACCACGATTTCAACTAAATTAGTCCACTTTGAATTTGTTAGGGACCTCGAGACTAATTTTTTTTGTAAGGGATTAAAGTGTGGATAGTGTTTTTTCGTAGGGACCAAAAACGATATTTACTCAATTTTTTGAACTCAAGATCCATTAACACATCAACTAAACCCGAGAAAAAACCTAGTCACATCTCATCAACAAAATTTCATCTGTATAGAGCTTCATATATTATTGCAAAAAAAAAACTATATTATCGTTTACTGATACTTTTGTATTTCAAACAAAAAAATTACAAAGTCAATATATACAAAAGATGTTATTTGCACAATAATCATGAAACAAATTTTAGGATTTTTAAAAAACCGAAAATCGATCAAATCTAAACCGAAAAAAAATTGTATTGGATCGGATCGGATTTGAAAAAAAATCCAAACAGAATGGATGATTACATGATCAAACCAAAGAAATTGAATCGGATACTTTTGTTTCCAAAACCGATCCAATCCAAACCACGAATATCATTGAGTGCATATCAATTTTGTTGTAAATGTATTTGAATAGGTACATACTTACTTAGTTGAGTTCATTGTTTTTTCTTATTTATTTTTCGATTCTTTTTCAGTGAAAAACTGCAATTGTTTCCACTCTGGTATGACGGGATAAGATTTATTTTGGTATGTTCAAAATGCTTTAGCTTAAGTTTCAAAGAATATTTCCTTTAATTTTTTTTTTTAGGTGCAAAATTAAAACTAGGATGAGTAAGAATATTTCCATACCAAATAGTAGTAACTGAATAAATGGAAAGAAAATAGACTCAATTCGATTTTTACATGTCATCTTTGAGAAGAGTTTAAATATTTTTATTCCAGACGCAACCCGCACTCTGAATTAGTTCATATAGCCGACTCAAAGAGTTTTGCCCTGCTCTCCAAATTAGTCCCTCAGCCGACTCAAAGAGTCAAAACTTATAAAAATAACGGAAAACTAACTCCTCTCAAATAAGTAATTAGGATTTGATTGACTAAAAATAAATATTTGCATTACAGCTGCCATCAAAGCTACTTTGTTTGCTATTTAAATGGCTACAATTTTTTAAGAAGATAATTTGTCATGGCTGATGATGGAAAGAGCTTTTATTATGTGTACATACGTTCTTTTACGAATACATCATTGGAATATATGTACTAAACAATCATCTCACTAAATAAGGGTTATTTTAATAGCTTTATATTAAATTTTCACAGCTACATATTTATTTAAGGATTCGTTTTTTCTGCAATTACTGCAGATAAGTTATCAGTAAGCCTAATACGACATCGTTTCAGGCAGAAATCATGGTATGTTTTTAATTTTAATTTATTTTAGGGTTGTTATAATCTTTATAATTATAATTTTCTAACCTTTCAATCCCAAACAACGTCGTTTTGGAAATAAATACAGATAACTTATCTGCATTAACTGTATAAATATTTTTCTATTTATTTAAATTTCGAAGAGCAGCAGTTGTGAGGATTAAATTCATAACCATTTGGTCACTAATATCATATTAAATAACAATACTATCAAGTAAGAGTCACTTTAATAATTTTATATTAAATTTTAATAATTGGTTATTGGGTTTTTCTTATGCATGAATTAATTGTTTTTACATGTTCATAGTTTGGTGAATGGATAATTGTAGTTTCATATCACATAAAAATTTTGTTATCTCCTACACACTCAATTTAAAGTGGGACCCAATAGAAAAAAAATAAAAAAATAAAAAATAATTGGCACAAGTATCGATGTATGGACATAAGATAAAAAAAAATTCCTATTGCATAAGAATAATATTGTCCTTGGTGAATTTGGAGATTTTTCATCATTGGTTTACAAAAGAATATATGCCCGTCAGTAATCACTGTTAGAAAAATCAAATCTAGAGACTGGTAGTTTTCATCTCTAATAAGTTGTTTTTTCGTCTCTAACAAAATTCCTATTGCATAAGAATAATATTGTCCTTGGTGAATTTAGAGATTTTTCATCATTGGTTTACAAAAGAATATATGCCTGTCAGTAATCACTGTTAGAAAAATCAAATCTAGAGACTGGTAGTTTTCATCTCTAATAAGTTGTTTTTTCGTCTCTAACAAATTTAGAGATAGAATTAACGCAAGCAATAATTTCATCTTTAAAAATGGCATATCTAAATATTTAGAGACCAAAATTTATATTCCTCTCAGGAGATATGATAATTTTGTGTCTCTAAATATGAATAATTTGTCGCTAACATTAAACTTAAAATCATTGGATTTTATCTATTAGCGACAAATAATTTCTGTCACTAATGAATTTTTATATCCATATCTGATTAGTAACTGAATATTATTTATGGAAAAAATATTTCTGCAGTTGCAGATAAGTTATCTGTATTTATTTTCAAAACAATGTCGTTTTTATATTGAAATCTTAAAAAATTATAAATATAAAGACTATTATAACTCTGAAATAAATTAAAATTACAAAAACACCATAATTTCCGCCCCAAAACGACGTCGTATTAGGCTTACTGCAGATAACTTATCTGCGGTAATTGCAGAAAAAGCGAACCCATTATTATTTTCCTTTTATTGTAAAACACACACAGACAAAAGTCATTTGATTTTATCTATTAGAGACAAAAAAATTCTGTCATCCATATTGATTAGTAACGGAATATTATTTATCTGTCTTCGATCTTAAAACACACAATCGCTCACTTACAAAGTAAGAGTTGTGACTCTTAGTCAAATGGTCGCAATAGCGG